TATAGATAAACAACCATTGAAAATCAATGCTTCCTGGTTTTCAGTGGGTTTGACGAAGATCAGTTTGTTGTGTCAACTATGAAAATTATAGTATATTTCAAAAATACAAAAGAAAATGAAATGAGTGTTTTGAATTTTTTCCTCACTTGAAAACGTGTACTTCTATTAAAATTTATTGAAATGTCTACTAAAAGTATTTTAATGTGAAAAAAGTAAGTGATTGCTTTCTTGAGTAATATATTTTAATGAGTAACTTATGGTAAAAGTGAATTATTCTGCTAATAATTGAATATTTCGCAATACAATGCAAAGTATTCTTTATAAATAAGACAACTTTCTTTTCCTTAATATTGTCCACAGAGTTGACTGTAATTCTTTATTAGTTAAATTATTGTAAAGACAGAAGTGGTTGAAAGAAAAATAATCGAGCTAAATTCTATTGACATTGCAAAGTTATGTGAAGGAATGCGTACACACAAAACTGAATGATGTAAAGCAAAGAATATGATGAACTTTTAATTAGACTGTACACCAAAGATTACCACAAAAGCTTAATTAAGATCAAAAAGATGGAATATAAACAGCGTCAAAAAGTCACATTCTTTAAAATCTATAGATTGTAGCTACCACTGTAATCTCGGGTATGTGTTTCCTCCAATCAAGTACTCATCATCTGGATATACTAGGATCCTAACATTAAAGATCATAGTCGTACTTGAATCTGGCACGTTTCACTACAAACTGAGATATGTCATACGCCTAGCTACAGAGTTCAGATGACCACTGACTTGTTCAATGAGTATGATGAATACATCATTATTAAGTAATCGATTAATAGATTGGTCCGTTGTTGTTATTCATGAATGAATTCTTCTGGTTAGTCTTTTCATTTCAATTTAATATTGATTTTCTGTTGTTATGTTAAACTGTTTGAAACGAAAGACAGTTATATTATTTTTCGCGAAAAAACTAACTAAAAACAATCTGTAAATGCTTATATTGATGACAATAATGTTGAAGTAAGCAAAATAAAGCTTGTGGTGGTGTTTCGTTCTCTGAGCTGGATATTTTGGTTGTGAAGTTTTCATTGTTCTCCTGAACAACATTATCAGCACAAACTTCAGATGGAAGTGGACTATTCGAATTTTTCCATGTTTGACCTGTAGCCTCTTCTGCTAACCTTGATCTTCACAATCAAATTATCCAGCTCAGAGAACGAAACACTACCAGAATCATCCACCTGAACTACAAATTTTCTCCACCATTTCAAAATAAAACATTTTTCCTTTCAATTCTTATAAATCAACCTCCATATTTTTAGGAGTCTTAAAGAAAAAGAATTAAAAATAGCCTATGTCATAGACAACTACAATTCACGTTATTGAAAATATCTTATTCATAAATTTGATAAAACAATGGAAAAAATGTTGATTGTTCACGTGTACACTAAGATCTAATGTTAGTTTACTTTTTCTTTTAATGGATGGATGCGTATATAATTTTATTTCATTTGAAATATTTATGATAAAAAATAGTGATGAATTTAACGCTAAGAGATAGATTGTTAACGCGCATCCTGAAAGCTTAAATAACACAAAAGCCTTTGTTTTTTTCAAATCAGGTTTCATCATTGAGAAACTGCCTTCATTGTTTCTATTTTTTTGTTTATTCCCATTCACATTGATTTAATAATTCTCTTGATATCGTGTGTCATGTGAATAGTAGAATCAAGAAAAAAAAGAGGCATCTGTTCTATTTTCCTTTTTATATCTCATTTTAATACTACAGCTGATTGTAGAGCGCTTAAAATTTGATTTGAATTTTGTTTTCTTATTTATGAAAGAAAGAATCAGCCCCTGATGTTGAATTATTCTCTCTCTTTGAGCAATTATTAACGTGTCTTATGAAAGAAAAAAAAGATTAAACAAGGTGTGTGTTAAAAAAGTATTGACATTTGACTATAAAAAGCCGGTGTTAATGCTACTATATAAATTCTTCTATCAGTTTGTAAGGCGTAAACATTTTAAAATAATCTATTTGAAAATAAAAATGTGAATTTGTGTATTTTCTTTTCACTTCCAGTTTTTTTCATCAACGATCAGTCTAAGTTTTATCCGACTTTATAGATTTTAACCTTGAAAATACTTTTATGACACGGGAATATGATATAGTGTAATGAATTAAACTCCCCCTCATCACACAAGCCAGTTGCTGTCTGAACTGAGTAGCTAAGTAGATAACGCGATAGCACTTAAAGCGAGCGGTACTTGGTTCGAGTCCCTGAATGAATAATAATTATGGGATGCAGGTGCATCCAGCTAATCCCTATCCATCTCTGCTTACAATGCATGTGACTTAATGGTTATATGGAGGCGATCCGCATAGAAGATGTACATATGTCAAATGGGACTGATCATTGCCATCTTGCCTTTTAATGAGAAGATTCAAACTACCAATTCAAATAAATGATTTAGTATAATTAAAATCTATCCCTGATGTATTTATTACTAATGTGTAAATCTGATAAGCTGATATGCTTTATTACTGAGTTTTTTCATTTATTTAACTTTTTATACAATTGATATATCTCTATTTACCGTGAATATGTCTTTTTAGGATGACCTATGAACACGATAATTTATAAAAAATAACAAGAAATGTATCTTGTAGATTATAAATATAAGCAAATATGATCATTGATTTCTTATCACCATTTCAAGATAAGAGTACAAACCGTAAGATCTATTTCTGCATAAGCAAACGTTTATCAATAATAACGATACGTGTATGCTTACCAGCAGTTTGATCACCTGACATAAATACAAGTCTCATATTTTTGTTGAATGACACGTTTTGTACTATGAGTGGTTATAGACAAAATTGATATTCATTATTTTAGAAAATCCATTTCTTCATTCAAACTATATCGATCAGATTTCAAAATATATATTTTTTTACAAATCAATAATGATTGAATATTATAGAATTTTATAAAATTGTGCAATCATTACTGTCAAGCATTTTAGTGAATACATTCACATTACCAATTTGGAACAATGCAAAAGAAAAAAATGATTAGAACAGAATAAGTGAATTATTCATTCGCTATTGGGTATTCTTCTGACATTCGTGTTAATGATAAAATAGAAATAACCTTTGCAATTTGCTACTCATCTTTTAGTCGAATAAAATGACAGTGATAAATGGTTGGTTTTATTTGTTTCTTGTATTAAAAATTCAATTTGTGCATTGCGTGTATAATCATCCTAGAGATATGTGGATTATTTTGTTTTACTAAACAATTTTCAAATTATCTGTTAATCTGTAATAAAACTACATTTGTGTTAAATTCTCTGTATTCCTATCTAATCATTAAAACACATATCAAGTGCATGGTGAATATGTGCTATTTTAATTATGAAAATGTTACTTATTCTTGTTTTCTGGTCATAAATCACTTTTTTTTTTAAAAAATAATAAGTAGTATCAACCATATTAAGTATGAATTAATTATTTAGGCAACTCATAAGTGTTCATCTAATTTATATTGTTAACTATTGTTTTATAAGTTGTTTCACACCATTGTCAAATTGCTTGTATAGATCGGTAATAATTTAATTGTACCAGAAAAACATGATTCTTAAACTCCAATCTCTTAATTAATCATTTGTATACAACATATTAATTCAATTTATCTGCCTTGTATGTGTATACATATGTGTCTTCTAAAAGTATTTTGTCGGTAAAAAGTTTCTGTGGTTTCGGGAAAATCTTTAATCTAAGGTGCAGTTATTAATTACTGTAGTTGAAGTTATTTCAAATGCTTTTTCTTGATAAATGCCATTATTAAGGTTTATGAATATATATTGTGAATTTCCTTCACTTGTTTCATACTAAACATAAGTGTTATAATCTTTGGCCACATATCTTAATGGTTGCTTTAAATTCAACAGCCAAACTTTGATATTCTCGAATGGTAAGACGTAATGAGATGCTTATCAGAGAGAATAATTCCCAGTTCATCATTTAGTCCCAAGATGATGCATACTATAGGCTTAAAGCTAAGTGAAAAAGAGAACAAATGTGAATTTTTCTTCAGTTCTACCTTTTGAGTACCACCGGCATATTACAGTGTTATATCCCTTATTGTCAAAGCTTATAATCAGTTAAAAGTTAGAATGAATTCAATTTTTACCAGTTATTCAGTTTGATGTGAATATCTAGCAGTTTTGAAATACAGTAATATCTAATGAAACTCAAATTAGACAGTGAAGATGTGTGTTCTCTTTGACAGTTTATTCATTTTGAAAGAATTGTTTGTAACTGGAATTTCTTATTTATTTACTTCAAACACTGTAGCTGGATAAAATCGCCATCATTACAAAGTGTGGTTGTAGATTTTTGAATGCTGACGAGATTCATAGAAAAGAACTAACTAGCTATTCGATACTAGTTAGTTCCTACTGATTTTGATCAACTGTGGACACTTATTTTTATTTCTTTGAAAAATTTTGTTAGGGATGTTCGATCCCCAGAACTCGCTTGATAAATATCTTTATTTTGGATTTATTTCATGGACCGATCAGTTGACCTTGAGGTCACATTTCCCACCAGGAGAATCCTCGGCTGTGATTGGTTACTGTGTAATTTTAGTGTGCTATTTTTGTGACTCTCCCAAGGACGTCTCTATAGAGTATAAATAAACGCAATTTGAGTGCTTGGATTCATTGTGTGCTGGCTGGGTGTTTGTAGAATACAATTTCTACACTTTATCAAAACTTCTCGCTGATATAATTTGGTCAAGGGATCACAGTAGCCTACCTGGACGCTGGTTCATTGTTTTGTTCTCGTTATTCGACTAAGGTGAACTCGTAATAGTTTAAGCAGGCCTAGAGACGAGTGTAACAAACTGGAAACACTACATTTCACTTTTCAACTGTAAAACACTGTCCTAATATTTTCCTATTTTTCTTGTATTTCTTTCTCTATGATTATGAAAGAGAAAAAGAGAAACGTAAAAGTGATTTATCTCGATTAGAAGGTGAACTTGAATCACAGATTAAATCAATAGAGGAACGTGCCAAGTCTGAAGTAAGATTTGTATTCAAATTATCATTTAGTTGTTCTTAGTGTTAATTCTCATAATATTTGTAATTGTTCATTGAAAAAAACAAACATAAGGAGAATGAGTGAAAGTAATTTTCTGAAGAGAATCTCGATAGAATTATTATTATGATTATTATCGATTTTACTAGGATCGTTAAAATGAATTGTATTGGGAAACTATTTAGTTATGCATAATGAGATTTGACATTGGTTGTTGTAAGATAATTTAATAATCTTTTATATCAGTGAACAGATCGTTAATATTAAAACTAATATTCAAAAGAATAAGTAGTGTTTTTTTAAACAAAAATTTCAAGCTGTAGGCAATGATATTGAACGATATGAAGTATTGTATTCACTACTTGCAAGTAGGTAACAGAAATACAAAAGTAAACTTTATTGTAAATTTCAATGACCATTTAAAATGATGAGTACATGAACTTTATGATGATATGTATCGCAGTAGATCCATCGATAGTAACAACGGAAACACACCGATGCAAACCAATGCAACTGTGATCATCACTGAGATCGAATATCACTTTTTTTTACAAGGACAGCCTGATAATCGATGTAATAGTGTTATTACGAGATTCTTTGAAGTAGTTTAGTGTTTCTACTTGAACTTTTTTCGTATCGAATTTCATGTAAACATAGAACAATCTATTTTTTGTCATTTGTGATAAATATTGCTTCATAGTGAAAAGTAAATTTTCAGATAATTTGTTCTAGACCCAACCTCAGTCTCGGCATTATTTCTGATTCATCCAAAACTGAAGTTGTGCATTGATATATGTATGCTTCATTGACTATGAATTGAAATTTGAAAGCTACATATTTTTTTTATGGTTACATTTTTGTGAAATCTGCTAATTTCATTGAGTAGATTTCTGACCAAGTTGACATTAGCTATCAGCTGATGTAGATATGGACTGAATGATTGTCTGTTTGTTGTCATCGAATTCTGTTCAGATAAATGTCCATATATCTTCATTTACAGTGAATTATTTCCATTTGTTTTTTAATACTATTTTCTATTATCAGGTACGTGAGAAGTTACAAAATGAATATAGAACTCTTGTTTTGAACAAAGAACAAGAAATCATAGAAATACGAGAACAAGTGGAAAGTTTACAACGTGTAAGATTATCATTTATAATAGTAATAATAATAATTGTTATTATTAAGTATTCTTCAGTTTGAATGTAAAAGAAACAAGATTACTTGAATGCGATTTTTTTGTGCCTTACTCCTGTAAGAGGCCTCCTATCGATATTCGCCTTATATAGATGATTGACACTGAATGATTATTGCATATTCATACACGAGCCTTATGTATTGCACAACATGTTAACTATTTTTAATTACAAATGTTTTTTTTTTAATTATACGATGTATGTAATGCACACTGTCAGCCTTTCACTGTTCAACTTAGCAAACTTTATCTCAGTTTACCGTGGTTCTAACTTCACTGTTAGTAAAACGTTTTTTTCATTTCATTTCATTTAATACAGATTTATTAGATCAGTTCCCTCAAAATCTGCTACTTTGAATTCATTCAAGGCTCATATTTAATTTTATACAAATTAATCTCACATCAGAATTTATATTATTTTATTCGATTGCTACCAAAAGATATTTTTGTTTGGAAATGAAATAGATTAAACTCCTCAAACTTCTAACATAAGCCACTTTTTAAACAATAGTAATTATTTTGTATTCTTGAACCAACATAAAACGTGTTCACGTCATGAATCCAAGTTTACGGATACAATAATTAGGGGGGTAATTGCAGAGAATGTTTTACTATTTAGTTTTTTTTCAGTAGTTATCCGAATAAATTTGATACACGTTAATACAATATAAAAATTTTAATTTGACCGACAAAAAGAATTTTATTTTCTGAAATCTCTCTTAGTTTAATTTAATCATGTATATTAAATAGTTTCAAATAGGTTTCTATAGTTTACTTTTCATTGACATCATGAATCGATCCTTGTTAGATCATCATTAGAAACTTGGAAGCACTAGATGGTCGTTTCATTCTAGAATGACACTCATCAACAATGCGCATCCATTCAATGAAACTCAATAATCTTTCCAAATCTGTCGGGAAAATGACAGAAATATTTCAATTCATTTAACCACCATATTGTTTTCTTTTTAAATGTAATACATACTTACTTACCTACGCCTGTTACCCCCAATGGAGAATAGGCTGACCACCATTTTTCTCCGACCAACTCTGTCCTAGACTTCCCTTTCTAGTTCTTTCCAGTTTTCGTTCATTCTTCTCATATCTTTCTCTATTTCTCGGCATAGTGTGTTCCTTGGCCTTCCTCTTTTCCTTTGACCTTGAGAGTTCCATGTGAGAGTTTGTCTTGTGAGGCAGTTAGGTGCTTTCCTCAGTGTGTGTCTTATCCACTTCCACCTCTGGAATCTGGTTTGATCTCTCCCACAGTACGTTGTTGCTGATAGTGTCTGGCCAACGAATCCGAAGTGTCTTGCGTTGACAACTGTTAATAAACACTTGAATCTTGTGGATGATGGCTTTCGTAGTTCCCTAAGTTTCCGCTCCATGCAGCAGAACTGTCTTGACAATTGTATTGAAAATGCTGATTTTGGTTTTGGTTGAAAGTTGTTTGGAGTTCCAGATATTTTTCAATTGTACAAATGCAACCCTTGCTTTGCCAATCCGCACCCTCACATTTGCACTGCATCCTCCGTGATTGTCGATGATGCTGCCCAGATATGTAAAGGTGTTAACGTCCTCCGAAGAATCTCCATGAAGAGTGATTAGGTTGGTGTGTGTTGCGTTGTATCAGAGAATCTTTATTTTTCCTTTATGCATGTTGAGACCTGCTGCTGCTACACTGGTCGTCTTTTCTTGCATTTGTTGTTGCGTGTTCAATAGAAGAGATCATCTGCGAAGTCTAGATCGTCCAGATGCGTCCTAGCTGTCCACTTATTAAATTAGTAAAATAGATTGATTGAATTTAGCTATCAATTCATGTAATATATTCACTTCATTTTGACATATTTTTGTTATTATTTTAATATTTATTTCTGTAGAAAATTAAACATCATACTGCTAATCAATGTGATTCAATGAATAGTCCTATTATACAGAAAAAATTCACTGATCCAATTGATCTATCAAATTCCAGCTTAACAGATTTCAAATCGTCCGTGGATTCTCCTTTAACTTATCAATATCATGGTGAAAATGTAGCACAGAATTCTCATAAAATGGAATTACAAAATGTCTTATCAATTCTGGCGCAAAAAGAATTTGAATTGAAAACATTGAAAGATCAATTAATTCAACAAGAAGCACAGTTAACAATGTAGATATCATTTATAGTGTGTATTGTTTTATTTTTTTTCTCAACATCTATTTTCATATATTTAACATTAGAAAGGTTCATATGATAGATTCTAATATATACTAATATACTTCACCCCATCGCAAAGTCTAGTGGTTGTTTAAACTCAGTGGCTAAGTAGATAATGCGGTGGGGTTTTCAACAGAACGGTGCTGGGTTCGAGTTGCGTAGTGAACATTAACACTTGGATGCAAGTAAATCCAGCTGATCAGTCTCAGACAGAGGGAAATGCGCGTCTTGGATTCTACTGCTAACCACTATCCACCCCTACTTATAATTCTTGTGAACTAATGACTATACGGAGGCAATCTGCAAATATGCCAAATGAGGCTGGTCAATTGGAATCGCAACTATTAATGGGAATATTCAAACTGCGCATTCAAATAAATGATACCATTGGATTGTCATTATTCTTCTTTTTCAAAATAAAGTTTTACAAAGTAATGTATGATTAATGAAAGAGGTTAGTTATACAAGATTGATAATCGGCTGGACTATTGAATAAAGTTAGTCATCATCTTAGTGCTTCATTTTAATAGACAGATATTATTTAGTACTTTGACTAAGTAGACTATACAAAACGTGTTAAAATAATTCAACAGTTTTACCAAACGAAAAGTCCAATAATTTGTTGGCTAATGTCTAGACGCATTGTGGAGAAATTCAATAATACAATCAATCAACACACGTATGATAATTTGTTATTTTTTCATCATAAAAATCAATATGAAATTTTTTTTTCAATTATTTCAAGGGATAAACATGAATTAATTAGTCAAGAAGAGGAGAAACAAAATCTTTACTCTCAGTTAAATGTTATGAGGTAAGTGTAATTGATTTATGAATGATTCAATATCGATGATTCCGTGTATTTATAATAGATTGTTTTCACTTAAGTTTTGTCTAATGGAATTTCATAGTCTTGTTAGTTAAGTGAATAACTTATGTGTACAATAAATTAGTTGATAGAATGAATAAGTAAACATTACAGCACACTATCTTAATATAAGTGGCTTATGTATGAGATGTTGATTCTTTTTCAAGACCTAATTTATCAGAGGTAAATTCAGGCAGATAAGTATGCGGCACAGAACTGTGAGTATCAAAAGGAAAATAACTTAAGTAAATTTATAAATCACAAGCTAATGGAACATTCAGATAATTATTCAGATAAGGTGCTGTCCGTATCTGTTTTTATTTGTTCATAAGTACCTAGTGGATACTAGTTACTTGCTTACGCCTGTTACCCCCAATGGAGCATAAGCCGCCCACCAGTTTTCTCCAACCAACTCTGTCCTGGCTTCCTTTTCTAGTTCTTTCTAGTTTTTGTTCATTCTTCTCATGTTGTTCTCTATTTCTCGGCTTAATGTGTTCCTTGAACTTCCTCTTTTCCTTTTGCCTTGAGGGTTCCGTGTAAGGGCTTGTCTTGTCGTGCGGTTCGGAGATTTTCGTAGTGTGTGTTCTATCCACTTCCACCGCTTCTTCCTGATTTCCTACTCCACTGGAATCTGGTTTGTTCTTTCCCAAAGTAAGTTGTTGCTGATAGTGTTTGGCCAACAGATTCGAAGTATTTTGCGTTGACAACTATTAATGAATACTTGTATCTTGTGGATGATGCCTTTCGTAGTTCTCTAAGTTCCTGCTCCATACAGTACAATTGTCTTGACATTTGCTTTGATAATCCTGATTTTGGTGTTGGTTGATATTCATTTGGAGTTCCAGATATTTTTCAACTGTATAAATGCAGCCCTTGCTTTGCCTATCCACACCCTCACATTTGCACTGCATCCTCCGTGATTGTCGATGATGCTGCCAAGATATGTAAAGGTGTTAACGTCCTCCGAAGAATCTCCATGAAGAGTGATTAGGATGGCGTGTGTCGCATTGTATCGGAGAAACTTTATTTTTCCTTTATGCATGTTGAGACCTGCTGCTGCAGAGGCTGCTGCTACACTGGTCGTCTTTTCTTGCATTTGTTGTTGCGTGTTCAATAGAAGAGTCATCTGCGAAGTCCAGATCGTACAGTTGGATCCTAACTGTCCGTTGGATACCGTACTTCCCTCCAGATGTTGACGTCTTCATAACCCAGTAGATCATCAGGCGAAAGAGAAAGGGTGAGAGTAAGCAACCTTGCCTGTCACCGGTCCTCACCTCGAACCGAACGTCAGTTAGCTGTTCCCCGTGCACGATTTTGCAGTTTAATCCATCCATGGATACTAGTAAATCGTATAAATAGTATCTAGTTTTTGTTGTTGTTAATTTTTCTTATTTAGATTTATCTCCTTCCTATATGATTAGTTCGATAAATAACGAGAAACAGGATGTGGTTTTATCGCGTTAACTTCGTCGTCTGATGTTCTAGTTTAAGGTGACAGAGAGAGGTATTGACTAGATTTTGGAAACTGAACATAGTACCTCTAAACTAGTAGTGATTTCAATGCATTTCGATTATCTATCAATGCTCTTTTATCTGAAGAAAGCGTTTTGATTCCGTTCATGACTAGTTTCATAGCAACATCTAGCATCGAAGTGCATGTTCAGCAAGTAGTCATCATAAGGAAGGTTGTTTACTTGAATAGTGTTTAAATTAGCTACATCATTTGCTGCTTGATAGGAGAATGGGCATTGCGCATATTAGTATGAAACGTTTGTCACAAAAATAATAAGTGATATCTTGATTCGTTGTGTTTTTTAAATTACTGATCTTTTGACCGGAGACTTCCCTGATCAACTTTTGACTAGTAGACAATGAAGTTATTTTTGTGAAAAACATGTCAAAACACAGAGTCTTCTAAACAATTTTAACAACATTTTAAGAATGTTTCAGTTGTAGATGTATCCCTTTGATTGTAAAAGATTGCTTTAGAACTGTTGTATAATAATCCATAGTTAAACCTTAAGAGATAAAGTAGTTGAATGTGTTGGTCTTTGATTTCTTAGTAGCTATGGTGGTGAACAAAATTTTATTATGAAAACAAGAAGCTCACTTGACTCTTACAGATAAGATGTTCAGCAATCAGATGCAGATTATATTGCAAAATGATTCTTTTCGAACTATCAAATACTTGTGAAAGATGATCTTTGAGAGTTGAAAACGTTCATAGTTCAGTGTCGTGTAAACCCACTGAGTCAGTAATAGGAATATAAGGGTTTAGAGTTCTAGGTATTGATTGCAAGTCTGTCATTTAGACCACAAACCTTCATACACCTAAGTGATACTGGCTTATGCTAGGCAATTCTTGTCACTGTCTAATTTGACGTACTATTCAAGTCGAAAATGTTCAGTACTACTAAACTGTGTGGCAATATTCCACGGAAGAGTCCTTTTCTTATTTGAACCGTGTAGAAAGACTTAGAATATCGAGGCATAATCTGTATAGTCGGAAACTCACAGTAACATGACCTATAACCAGCCTCAATTATATTCATTTCTTATTTTCTTCTCAATCTTGAGTTTAATATGATTTCTTAATTTTCATTTTTCAACTTAATTTGTTCATTTTGAACTATATTTCATGTTTCTTTTATTGACTATATGAGTTGACATCATTATTTCTTCTAGTTTACTTATCAATTTTATTCAATCAGTTATACTCGTATGTGTATCGGTTCAAGTGATCATATCACACTACACAGTGAAATAAGATATTTTCACAACCAACCCCAAGAGTAGTAACGGTAATAGTAGAAAAGAATAGATATAGAAAAATAAGTTTTGAAATTCAGGTTTTGAAAGAAGACAAAATGTTATATGCGCTTGCCCAATGCGAACACTTCTAAGCCGTCATTCGAAATCTATAACTATTGCTTACAATAATTACAAAGACTCTAATAAAGTAGCCTACAACCATCATCGTGTTAATTTATGTCGGTGTATGTTGATGTTAGCTGTAGAAACATGAACTGATACTTAGTATGTTGTGATACTTTATTATTCATTAACTGATGTTTAGTAATTATGATTTGATACTTCTGTTATTGTAATAAATAATAGCTAATTTTAACAAGTGAAATGTTGGTGGTTTTTCAAATGTCTATTTAGTTGCATGAAACTTTGACTGAATAACCTATCCTTCATTTAGAAATATTTATTTCGTGTACCTGAGTAATAGTAAAGTTTAAAAATTGAATATAACACTAAGTTATTTTGGTTTCTATTTTCTATCGCTGAAACGCATTATGTGCTAGATAAATTAAAAATCCTTAACCATTAAGTTGACTAAAGGAATCTTGTTTAAGTTATCACTTTTTTAAGATCTACACCTGGCTTACCAGTAGGAAACATAATCTGTCTTATTCAGAAGTGTTTATTAAAGGAAACAAAAAGCAAATATGATTCCACTGAGGTACTGATGAATTTCAGAGGGGTTTAAACTAAATGTTCAATGATCTATGGTTGTTCATTGGTGATTTTATCACTTCTAAATTCAACTCTAAATTACCTTTATGTTTAATAGAAACAACTTATCTATTAACCTGTATTTTATTTTATTGTCAATCCAGAAAAACAATGGAACGTTTAAATAAAACAAACGACTATCTATGTTCAGCGTTGCATCGTGAATCAATTCGTAGACGAAGTAGAATATCTCAATCGAGTGCTTTCTCGGAATTTGTGGTAAGTATGGTTTAATTTTTGTAACAAATCACTATTTTCCTGATGGTTATAATTATTTATTCTAATTTACAAGATACATATATAAAGTTTCCATGTTTTAAAACCGTCAAGACTATCTATGCTTGTATTAGCAGCAAGGTAAGTGACGGGAAAATCTCAGTTTAGGTCTTTAAAAAAGGAATCTCAAATGATAATATATAAGTAGGACGTTGGATGCATGGTTAGTAATCTGAGGGCTATGGACTTCCACAAGAGTTAAATGTCCTAGGTTCGATCCTCAGTAAAGTTGTATGTAGGTACTACTGAACTGTCTCATACTAGGATAGAAAAGCTGTCCAGTGACTCCTGGTTTTCATTGGTTATCTAACTGTATATTCCGTGATGTAAACTATAGACTTATCTTAATTTTCTAAGGTCATTTACAGCACAATAAGGAAACGGTATCTTTTAATCAACAACACATGTAGGAATAAGTTAGGATGCATTTCAAACATTTAAATAACGTTTTACGGATCAAGTTGCTGATTTTATCCATAATTTTACAACTTTTTCTGGTCTACTGGGAAAAGTGTTGGCTTCCTTTGCTATGTTAACATTACATAGAAAATTTTATTTTCTGCTATAAGTAAATGTATGGTAAATAAAACTATAACCACTTATAAGATAATTTTGTCTTTGTTATCTTCATCATCATTCGGTCATTTGTTTCCCAACGGTTATTTTTGTCACTAAACGTGGAATGAAATGTAGACAGTTTGATTAATTTCATTTGTGAATGTACAAATTTCATTACATTTTCTAAATATTTTAATGCATTTGTTAACATTTCATTTGTTACATTCATTTGTCAATTTTTTTTGTAATTAGGGATATATATTGATATAGTTTTGTGTGATATACACAGGGACAAGTATAAATGGAAGCGTTTGTTTTCTTACTGCCAGTTATATTGTTTAGGAAGCAATGTCTATGTATTTGGAGAAATTTCAGTATGCACTGCTTAATGTTACAAGAATATCAACAATGCATTGTTTTGCTGACGGTTAATCGAGTTATTTGTATCTTCAATCGAAACAAAACGAAAAAACATTTTGTTTAACATAGTTACGATGTACTAATGCTAATTTTTAAGAGTTTATTTATAACGGATTAGATTTAATATATCAGAGTAACAGGATTCAATTTATTCATTTACATTCAACGTGAATAGAATAAATGAAATGTGTACATATAACAGACTTTATCATTTACTTCTAATCACGATTTCGACGAACATGATAATAAGATAATTACTGATAATAAATAAGTAATATGTTGCTTAAATATAACAAAATAGTTTAATTGTTTCATTTTATATTGTATCGTTGGATAGTTCAAGTTCAGTAAATCTAGGTTAGATTCAATTCAATTTGAAATGTTTTGGATTATCCCGTTGTTGGTATTTTGATTGTAACTGATCCGTCTCATGTAGCATATGTTCGTACTATGTAGATTGCCTCGATATAACCGTTAAGATACAAGTTTAAATACAGAATAGAATGTGACTAGCACTGGAATCCAGGATGTACATTCTGTCCTATTTGAGACTCGTCAGCTGGGTGTACCTACATCTCAGAGTTGATGCTACCGCCTAGACTCGAACCTACAGTAGTTAAGGGGATAACGCGATGGCGTTTGAAGTGACCAGTTCTGGGCTCGAGTCTTGGAGTGAATGTCAACTCTGAGATGCAGGTACATCTAGTTGACGAGTCATAAATAGGACGAAATGTACGTCCTGGATTCCATAGCTAGCCACGTCCTATCTGTTCTATATAAACTAGATTAGATGGTTTGTTAGTGTACTGTTTCAAATACTTTAAAAGTAATATAAGATTACTAAATAAAAACAAATGAAAACTAAAGATTACTGAGAGTTGTCTATATTCTTCTCTAAGAAGCTTTATTAAAATTCATCTACAACCGTAGGTAGGCACTGAACTCAAGTTTCCCCGTTAGTTATTGACAGCTTCAGGATTTATTTTCCTTTTTTCAATCAATTTATAGGTTAAAGTAATCCATATCCAGCGATTCAATAGTTTTCATCACGTCTGATTGACTTGATCCAGGTTTTTTAACTACACTTTCAGGAGATTAATTTCAAACTCTTTAGTGTCCTGAAGTCCCTAACTGTAACGAAATAAATTTTCAATGCTTTAATGACTTTGAGCTTTTGTCTAGCCTATATCAGTTCATGGGGACAATTACCTACATTATTCATATATACATTATTGATATTTTTTTTAAATAAAATTAATATTCTTCGTTTTTCTTTCTCTCATTATAGGAACAAAGTGGTAAGTAAACTGAATGGTTCTATCAAAAATGTAATTAGTTTTTCTGTTATTCGCATAAATTAGATTTGAGCACAGATCAATGATTCAGTGTTGATATTATACATTTATTTATCCGTATTAAGTAGGTTATATGCCTATTCTGGGATTGAGAAGTGAACTCATGAATATAATCCATCATAGTTGTGCTCTTATTCGAATTGCACTGTTTCATTTGCATTATTGATAATGAATTCCTTCTTAGTATTTCTTCAAAGAATATTTTTTGAAGTGAGTCATGAGTGGCCAGTTCTCTAGTTGGAACATTTGAGTTGATAAAAGTTTCAGCAGTACACATAGTGTGATCAGTATTATCCGGTGTGAATCGAATTTAGTCTAATTTTAAATTGTTGTAGAGTAGTTAGTAGAATCTATTAGATAATGAGACAGAACTCCGAGTTCCTGAAGATTACAAGTGATCCTTCATTCATGTAAAAATATCAAAAGCAGTCTAGGTCGATCGATTCCAGTCGACTGCGCTTATAGTATCCCATCTTGAGCTAATTCATACATCTTTATAACTGCCACTAGATCAACACACATATCAAATACAAAGGCAGAGTGGAATATAAGTGTTTCCAGTTCAGCAAATTAGCCATGAAACTTCCATTTGGTGGGTTTTTAACATCTAAAGTAAATAAAATCATGAATAGCCAAAAATAGTTAAATATATGATACATTTAGATATCTACACTAATATACACTGCATTGACTATTGATTGAAGCTTAAATCTCATCAGTACTCAGAAAATTTTTTTGTTTTTATATGACCAGATAATAATGAAATCAATCTACAACCGTGTGATTTTTCAACACGAATCACTTTCCCACTTGAAGTAAGTAACACCAATTTCATACTCTACGATTTTAATCCATTGTGATTTTATCCACTTTCATTTCATCAGACACTTTAGACTTTACTGAATCCAGCTTGCATAATGTGTGTTGTATTGTTTGTCGGGCTAGGCTGACAAGTTTCTAAAAACCACATGGAAGTAACATGTCACTTTTATCTCATATTATCCAGTCTATTGAAGTTATACACCATATATTTCTAGAGGTATTCTATTAGGTAGTTTACAAAGCCATCCAGTGTGCCTTTTGTTTCGATAGTTCATTTTCTCAAATAGAAATAGTCTGATAATGATATCAATATGAACTGACCCCCTTTTATAGTATAATGTGTAAATCTTATGTTCTGTACAGTAAATATTGACTTCATAGTTCATACTCCTGACATTTTTCTGGAATATTCGCTGTTTTGAACAAAGAAGTATAGCATAGTCTAAACTCATCCCTAATGTTCTTGTTTATCGACAGTTTGTTTATTCTTTGTAATTATTTTCGCAAACACACATAGACAACATACTTTTTAGATTCAATGGACCATACCAAGTAGATCAGAAAAATAAACTGATAAGAGAAAAAAAAATAAAAGGTATAATGAGTCATTTTCAAATCAAATGTCACCACAAATCTTTTTTTTTTCTAATCCATATTCTATTTGATTTGATTTGGTTGTTTAATGAATTCTTTCTATCTAAATCTATGTTAAATGCATATCAACCCAAATCACTAGTTGACTAACAAACTAACTTAGCAACAGTCAGGCATATAAATAAATTGAAACAAACAAATAGATAAACATGTAAACATTTTATGTTATGTAGAAATAAGTTAGGGAGTGTTTTTATTTTTCAGTTATGTACATTCTTTTGTTCACTGTGCTCTTATCGTAAACTTTGAGTCTTTTATCATAAGTCAATTTAAATTATCTCCAGGTTTTCAATGGTAGTCTAACATTGATTGGTTCATCAACTCACTGAAATTCAATAATCTTCACAATTCTATACTTTGAAGAGGAAATTTTTTTATGAGTTGATGCATAAGAATCCCCTTTCTGTGATTATTTAAATTGACAGTCAGTCAGTTCATTAAAATGTTCTTTTTTCGACAAAAAAAATATGATTACAATAAGCATAGAAGCTTCATTCTAAACTGTAAGTGAATTAAGACACTATCAGTTGTGTGTGTGTGTGTGACGTTTTTCCCCTTCTATTCATTGATCTCAAGTGTCAATTAATGTATTTATTACTTTACTTAGAATAAATTAAAAAAATATTCATGTACAGTAGTTTATTTTATCGGTGCTAATCATATTTTTTCATTTAATCTTAGAATAATATCAATGTCAAGTAGATTATTCCAACTTACTGTCTTCTTATACATTGGTCAATGAAATATCTTTATTTAAAAGAATATATTTGGAAAGAAAACAATCACTGTTACGTAGTTTGTCTCTTAGTAAACATGATTTTGAATTCATTGCTCTAATTTTAAATCATGACTGCGCAATCTAATCTCTTTGGTCATGTTTCTGTCATTTAGACTTATACTGTAGTTTACATTCAGTTTCCTGTTCCTAAGCCTCTATTTCTACAGTGGTAACTCAACTGGATTTAATTTATTCTGTATACATTTTTGTTAACTAGATAAAAATTTCGGTCATTTAACAGTATAGACAACTAAAAATTAAATAAGTATTAGAGAAGATAACTTTCCTTCCGATTACTCTTAAAAGATTAGCAAAATACAATGAAACAATAATTAAAAATGAAGTCAATTATTACGCCATAGGATTTGTTCAATGTTCGAGATTGTTGAACACGCTGATTTAGCATAGAATTCATATCGATTTAGCATTTATTAAAAATGATTGATTTTTTAGCATAATTAAATTCAGGAGAACCATTGTCTACATTGTTATTATTATTCATTACAAAGAATAAAAAAGCAAGTAAAAAGGTCACCATGTAAATGAAAAGTCATTGAATCAATAAATCTGAAGACAAATATAAAACTGAAAGCCAAATATATCCTGTTAAACTAAATAACTATCATACAGGAAATGGGTTAAAAGAAACTGGAAAAGAGAGGAGTAAAAATTCTTAAACAAAGTCATTTTATACATTAAAAAAAGGAAAATCAATTGAATCACTAAAACAACCTCTCAGTGATACAATTTGACCTAAAAAACAAATCTAACCATTCATTCTTTGTGTTGTTCCCCCTAGTTTATCTTACTTAAACTCGTTAATTTTATTCATAATAAATAAAACGGGAATATGTCGTAATATGATGTCAAGAAACAAACAAGCTATCCATTGAATTATTTACAGTATTCTACAACTGACTAGTAATAAGTTAATGAGAATGAAGTAAAATTTAATGCGTACAATTCTTTTCGTCTGAAATGTCACTAAACAAATTGTATTGTGAACTACTGGTGGTATTAGCAGTAGCAGTACACTTAGGCTGTCGATTACTTTGAATGAATTACTTGACGTTTAACTCACGCTCCAAGGGATGTTCCGATTATTTATTCTAGTATCATGATGTATGAATTATGTTATGGTTTATATAAGCTCTGCTATTCACTCACTGTAATTAACAATAATCTATAATGTAACAAGTAGATACATACATACTACTTAGTTAACTAGGCGTATCTACATACATACATACATACATATATAATTTAATTTCAATTTGTTATCTGATTTTCTAATTTTCAAATCAACTAGGTGTGATATCCAAAAATTAATATGGGCATTTTCTCACTACCTTTTTCTTTTCCCTCTTTGTTACTAACTAATTAATGATTGTTGTTTACATCGTAAATTGTTGTTTATCTTTCCTTTTGAAATGGGCTATTATTTTTGTTTTCAAATGTTCACTCTTTATGTACGTGTATATATCTCTGTACGCCTATATGAATATGCATTGGTTTGTATTTTTATGGCCCATGATCTAACTCTGATCTTCATGAACAAATGGAATATACAGTGGGAATTAATTTTCCGTTTAATTTCGCTTATTATATACATAATAAGGCTAACTCCATTTGTGTAACGGCGGTAAAAGGTAGTCATTTACGGTCTCAGTTGGATAAGTTTATTTCATACAATCATCTACGCAAACATACATTGAAATGTGATGTACAAAAATGAAGCGATGAAGCTAAGTCATGTGTGCTAATTCCTTTTAGCAAAGCATGATTGACTATTTGTAACAGGACGAAAATAAGCTCAAAACGTGGTGAATAGAGTAAGTGATACACACACACATACGCCCAGATAAAAAGTGGTCAAGATGATAAACAAATAATTGACAAGCTCAAAATATATGTGGAGATAACAACTCCGGTAGAATTGATTCATTGGTCTGTCCGAAAGCTAGCATAATTCATGTAGGCGTGACATAGTAGTAGTACTCGCTACAGCATCTTGTATTTATGAAGATCTAGTTGTTTACCTATTTCCTTCCTAAATTTAGGACGGTCAAACATTGAATCCCATTGAACCAATAGATATATTCAATATTTATCATTATTATTTGTTATTATCATTTGTAATTATTAATTTATACCGTTTCCTGAACAGTATCATATTCAACTTATATCGTAAATACTGAAGTTTAAAAGTGTTAAAATTATTCACTATTAAGATAATGATTTACAAAACGAAAGATAGATTTCTGACACAAGTTTAGTATTCAGAATAATATTACTGTAGATGAATAAGTCGTTTATAAGTCGTATGTTCGTATTATCGTTGATAATCACATTGTTTAGTTTACGGTAAACACATGAATATAGAACATCTTTTCATGAGGTGGCACCATCAGCCAATTTCTAGGTCGGTAAGCTAAAAATTGAATGCAGTCTGTTGCCTACTGTTTAGTTAAAGAATTTGACGTTTTATATGTCGAATCATTTTCCATCATGTCATTAAGTAGTAAATTTCAGTATTGTACGATGTACTTCAAAATAGTAATTTATCTAGTTCGAACCAGTCTTTAATCATAATTGTGATGGATTGTTTTCTGTGTTCCTTAAGAAGAAATTGAAGTATCGATTTCGTAGCATGCCGAAAAGATAAATATTGTCTGGAACTCGCTATTTTTTGAGTATGTATCCGTTACCTATTAACCTTCGCAAATATTTCTAAGTCTGTTGTTACTTCAAATACATTCACTAAATTATGAAAGCGAACAAAAATACGATGATTTCTGTTTCGATGATATACAAAAGTGTGATAAATGTGGAAGTTAGGTTAGAGAGAGTTTTTGGAGATTTGTTCCACCTGAAGACTGTCTTCGTCGTAGGTTGTGATCAAATAATGATTTATTGAGAAGTAGCAAATGGATCTTGACAACTGTTTTGTCCTAGGAATTACCGATTCCTAGGCAGTGCACAACCACGACCACATGTTTGTATTGATTCTATCATTCACTAAACCGTTCATAGTTTCTGGCTTAATAATACATCATTGTAGGACAAATTGATATTGAATAAAATGCTATCATGTAGTTGAAACATTCTTTTCAGACAAGATATCGTTTCAAAAAAAAAAAGTATTTTCGATAGGAAGACCTAGAGCAGAACTTCATTTCGCGAAATAAACCAAAGACGGCTAACGTATTTCAACGTTTTATGATGAAAAACGTCATATATATATGAGTTTAATTGACATGAAATAAAATTATTGTTCTATTCAATAGTTGGCATGTGACTAATACATGTAAAGTGTGTATTAATGATCGATTTGTTATTTGCAAATGCTGATGATAAAAACTAACTAAAGAACAATTATTCATGTCCAATAGTTAGTACATACCTTGATCATGTTTCAATATGAAAACACTTTTCAAACTTCAAATGAGATCATTTTCTGATTTACAATAAATATAGGATTTAGAAAACTTGATTTAACCATGTACAAGAATAGATGCTTAATAATAATGGTAGTTTAGAATTGTGTAATTTAGTTTTAAACAAGTTCTGTGTATTACTGTATTTGTTAGAATAATGTTATCAAATACTAAGACACTAGTAATTTAAACAATGTAAGATTGTCTGAAATGTTTCTCAAGTGTCTAATATTTCTGCAGTTTAATATTGATTTGTCTTATAAGTTTTAATAATGTCGTTATAATAAATTAACCAGAAGTTTAAATGAAATATTATATAATCCATAAATATTTCTACTGAGTCTCCTAATAGTTACTACCTACAGCTCAACACATCAATCCATTGAGTCGCCATCCTACTGACTACTAGTCTCATATTACAAACGGCTATTATGGGGTTGAATTTTCAACTGATATATCTATCTTACTGAATTACAAATGTACTCAATGAATATGTAGTCGGTTTAAAATCAAACAATAATTTCAGAAATATTGACTTCTAGTCAGGTTTTAAAAAAACACCATTTATTAAGTAATTGGTGATTTTTGATAATTTAACCGTTACTTTATAGTCTCTAATCAGTCAGTTGGCTACTGATTTGTATGATTTGATTAACATAGCTGCATTACTGTTATATATGTGAAAAATGTAATGATTGGATAATTTCCCAACTAGAACACTTCAAACAATGTAACATGACATACAAACTCTCTACATTAAACATTTATTTCCATATCAAGCTGACTGTCTCCGTAATTATTATTTTCAGAATATATTATAATTATTGTTTGAGATGCCTTAATTCCATATCACAATTCTTATGAGCGGTGTGATAGTATTTAGTCACTGCAGTTAAAGGATATAATTTGCCTAACAGACTATTCTCTTCATCTTCTAAATTGTTTTTTTTTTAACTCAGAAAACAAAATTTGTTGTCTACCGTCGTTTGTTAGTAGTCAGATTAGGAGGTATATATAAGCTATGTTTCTCGTTGCTTATGTAGGAACTGTTTACCGCTGGTTTAAACTTAAGATTTTCCAACTTTTAATTCAGTTTCATAATTCCATAGATTTTATTTGTTTTAATGAGTATAATTCTCAATGAAACATCATTACTCCCTGATTCAAGCTTCGCTTGGTTTTTAACATCTAATATTCTTTTTATAGTCAAACGTTTCTCTGTTAGTTAACAAACACTAAGTTTTCCATGATTTGCATACTGATCGAATTGAGTGAAATTGTTCCGTGGTTGTATTCTCTCTAGTTCAGTGATATCGAAATTTCACAGCATTCACTTTGGACTTATTTTTTATAGATGTAGTCGTTCGACTCATGCTATGAAGATATTCAGCAATTTTAGAACTACTCAAATAATTTAACTAAGTAGTCAGTTGAAAACATGATTCATAAAACATTTTCGTGTATTTTATTTATTTTAGCCGTACGAATTTGATAGTTTGGAGAATATTCTGCCACTTCAACGCCAACAAAATCATCTCGATTCCACATGTCGACGCTCAGATTACTCTAGTGAGAATATTAGTAGCGTCAGTGGTTCCCATTATGATAAAAATGAGTTTATAACTCTCGAAAATACCACTGAAGAACAACAGCACTTGACAGGAACTTTAACACCAACACGTATATTTAAAGTAATTTTAGTCGGGGATTCTGGTGTTGGCAAGTCTAGTTTCTCATATCGATTTTGTGATGGAATATTTTATCCACAACTTAGAGCTACTTTAGGTAAGTTGGATATGTAGTTTCGACAGTTTAGAAGAAAGATGAATTGTATATCTGTCATTAATACTTACGGTTTAAGGATTTCAAAAAAAGTAGCTTTGCAGAATATTTTTCCATCGGTATGTGTTACACTCGTCTCTAGGTATGCTTAAAACTATTACGAGTTCACCTTAGTCGAATAACGAGAACGAGACAATGAACCAGCGTCCAGGTAGGCTACTCTGATCCATTGACCCAACTGAATCAGTAATAAGTCTTGATATAGTGTAGAAATTGTATTCTACAAACACCCAGCCAGCATGCAATGAATCTAAGCACACAAATCGCGTTTATTTATACTCCATGGAGACGTCTTTGGGGAAGTCACAAAAATGGCACACTAAAATAACACAGTAACCAATCATAGCCAAGGCTTTTCCGGGCGGAAAATATGATCTCAAGGTCAACTGATCGGTCCATGAAACAAATCCAAAATAAAGACATTTATCAAGCGAGTTTTGGGGATCTAACATCCTCAACAGTATGATGCAGCTATTGAGACACTTTTAAGATGAAATTCTAAGGACAAATTGTACAATATAGTTAATCTGACATCAAAGTTATTTGCGAATGAACCAAATGAATTACATGTGAAAAAATACGTCCGTTAATTTTCATTCTCAACTGAACTAATTCATCAAAGCTTTTTATGGAGACTGGATCAAATTACAATTTAAGAAGTAAAACCGATTGAAGCTCATATCGATGGAACTTCTAGAAAAAACTGTCATTTTCTATCTGTTCATCAAACATTAGTTAATCTCATTCGTAAGGCTGATTTTCTTTCGATATGAACAAATAAGTGATTTCTTTGTGTTGATAAGTAATACACTTACCTACTTATTTAACCGGTAGTCATCTGAAGTGGAGTATATATATATATATATATATAGCATTCGAATTTAATCATTTTAGCGGGCTGTTTTATTTAAAACTGTATTTCTGTATGATCTGGTTACTACGTATAAGATTTTACACAATAATTCTTTTACAATCTAAGTATATCGTGAAGCGTTGGAGTATCCATTGTATTTGGGAATTTTCTGGATATGTTGTAATCTTGATGATTGGAACGAACGTTCATTTAGTGGATATATACTTTCATCTATAATTTCAATGACAACTTTCATTATCACAGTAAAGAAACCTCATAAATGAGCCAACTAGCTGGATAAGAGATTTTCATTTATTGATTCTGTTTGTTTGTGACCGTATACAATCCACTATGCGAAGAACACAGTCTAGCAGTTGTACGTACTGTGTAGACTGTGTGATAAAATATGAGTAGTTATGCAGTCGAATGGTCAGATGATATACTCTAGTTAGCATTCATTTTTCCTCAAACTAATATTTTAGTTTGGAAACGAAATTTTTCTACTGATTCTATTTACTGAATATAAAACTGGTTTATTGAATCCACAATAAATTAAGCTGGTATTTTTATTTAGTAGCGTTAATAAGTAGGAAAGTGTGATTTTGAAGTATCCTGCTTTAAACATCACCTAGATCGGAAAAAAATCAATTCTGTGTATCGATCAGATCGATACGTTCCATCCATAAACTCGTGTTGTAAATTGACAGAAAACAAAATGAACTTACAGTATTTGATAATCTTCAAAAACTAATTGAAGAAGACATATGTCATGATCTAAATTTACCAACTGAAAAAATAGTTTGACGTTTAAACAGGCAGTTATAATCAACCTCTATTACTGATAGTCAACATTCCGATGCAATAACAGAAATAATGTAATTTTTAGACTATTCAATGCTTATTCATTTATTATTTTTAAAAAATAATACACATGATACTTGGAAATTATTGAATTTTAAGCTCAAATATTTATCAATAATGCATTTCATTAAAGATGTGTTAGACAACGCCAAGTAACTGTTTTATTCTTGATATGTTTGAATTATTTTTTATCTGAGATAAGTATTTTCGTAAAGTATGGACAAATTATATCCGACTTATGATTAGTTAGTGATCATAATTCTGGTTTAGTTCTGATGGGATATATAAATATATATATAGATCAAATTATGATGTATCCATTGGTCTTAATGACTCAAGATAATGTGCACTTGTCGAGATTTTCAAGTGTTTCTGATAGGTTTTAAATAACAGGAGACTTTGATCCAGGGTTTTCCAATCAACTACCCTAAGTATATGGACCGACTTATTGAAACCATTAAAATTCTTGTCAATTCAGTTTGTGTCACCCTACTTTTTTTGAATTACCCTACCGTCTACTGTCTACACATTGTGTGATGTGTAATTTTATTTGTTTAGAATTAAAAAATGGGATGCAAACTATAATCTATTGATATTATCAAATTATTAACAGAAACGTTATTTCATTCTCATCAATTGTGTATCGTTTTTTTTCTCCTTCTCTCTATCAAAAGGAGTTGATTTTCGAACAAAAAATATTCAAATGAATAATGCACTGTATACTATTCAATTATGGGATACTGCTGGACAAGAGACGTAAGTTGTAAACTATTCAAAAGAAAATGTACCTTATTCGTTTTATGATATTGTTTTCAAGTGAAACTATAATTCTATTGATTTTGTATATTTTCAACCGTACATTAATTGATATCAACTGTTGCCTGGTTTATTCTAATTGAACTATTTAACGAAATGCGATTGAACGACACAGATACCACTGATAATTTTTAATGTATTTCTGATCAGCGAATGGATCAGTTGTTTTGTGAATAAATAAATCAGTCAAGATTATTTTTTTGTTAAAATAAAGATTAACTGAAAAGTCACAAACGAAATGTTCCAATAGATCAATGAGAAATATTAGCAAATTTTCATTGTTTAAATATTTAAAATTTATTCAATTAATAAAAAATAGGAATTTTCATCACATATTCATAATTTTCTGATTGATAATGTTAATTGAACTTAACTTATTAGTAAGGATCATTTCTGAAAGCTTATTAAAAAATTTATGCTTTCAAGTATAATCGGTCAGTGCACACTGATATCAGACTGGATGCTGATCGTGACTGGAATGTATAATATCTCTGTCAGTTTTTGACAAGTTTGTCAACCGATATCATAGTGTTTAAAAAAAAAGTGGGGAAAATGTCTACTTTATTAGTTAGTTAATATCAAGTGCTCATAAACATTTTATTATTGATATTATTCTTTTTTTTCTTTTACAGATATCGTTGTATTGTTCGTTCTTATTTCCGTAAAATTGACGGTGTCGTTTTAATGTATGCAGTTGATCAACCTGAAACATTTGCAAATATCAAATATTGGATGGAAATGATAAAAGTAAGTGAATTTCACAATATTTCTAATTAAAGATTAATACTGTGAGAGAACTCAGTAAATACTTCTAAATTTTTTGAAGACTTGATTTTAAAGCATGGCAATCTGTTTGTTAGTCATCTGATAACTATCGCATGAACTGCTTCAAAAACGTCAGAATCAATAATTGAATTGTCAGGTAACTAACAATTTTACATCAGTATTACAAGTTGGTAGGTATTGTTCAACGTTATTGCGATCGTTATTGAAAACCAGAATACTCTAAATAGATGTTTTATCCTAGTATAGGATTCCCCAGTAGTTCTCATTCACGATATCAGCGGAGATTGAATCCAAGACATTTATAACTTGTAGTGACGACCACTGAGTTGGGATTCCAAAGTTTGTAGTATCGAATTTTCGTTGTACCGACTGTAGCTGCTACCTCGACGTAGTGGTCGCGCTTGCCTATAGCGATGACCCGACCGGTCCATATTGGTTGGAACATATGCTTCTTTAGGCCCAACCATGTCACAGTAAGATAGACGACAGCACCTTGAGGTCTGTGGGCGAAATCGTACTGATGAGGTTGTAGAGCAGTGTGTCAGCAGTAAGGTGTTTCTCTCGGATAACCAGCATCTGCAACGGTGTTTCCTCCTCATAAGGAAGAGAGGGGTTAGAAAAGGTCAACCCTAAATATGTCACACCTCACCTTACCCCACTGATTTTCGTCTGTGACGGTAAGGACATTTGAAGAGCAGGGCACGCTTCCGAAAAATTCCAGAAGAAGGTCGTGAGTGACCGGCCCGAAGCAGTTGTCCCTTGAACTTTTAGGTCACACTGCCAGGTTGCTAAGCCTAACAACAATCAAACATCCATTTCAGGTTCCCCAAGAAATACTCTTCTGTGATGTGGACAGGCGGGAAGTGAAGGCCACATCCATACCGCTAAGAGGACACGAGATCAGTTTACTCACAAACAAATCCTCCCCCCACCTCCTAATGACTCTCTCATCTCCATGACTAACCTTCCTTTCATTCCTGTATCACCTCGCGCTGCTAATGCTAACGATTTGAGTTCAGGATTTGTTATTCCTGCTCTCGAGAAACCACGCTCGAAGCTACATGTTAGAACTTTTAATGTCCGAACTCTTTGCCAAATAGGACAACAGTCTTCCTTAGCAAAGTCTCTAGAATCTCATGCTATCGACGTATGATGTGTCTTGGAAACGCACAAACAGGATCAGAGTAGAATCATTTATTTGACCTCCACTTGTCAATAAAAAGGATTTTCTCGATTTGACGCTTCGTAAATCTGGAATCCCCACAACTGCTTCTCGTGGTCTCGCTGATATAGGTATTGCAATGAGTTCTAAGGCTGAACTAGCTCCCTTGAATTTTACCCAGTAGATAGTCGTCTATGTGCTGTCCGACTCAACATAACATTAAGGACTCGGAAAGACAGGGACATTCACTGTTACCTCTTGCTTGTCACTGCTTATCCTCCCACTGATTGCAGCTCAAAGGAAGTTTGACAGAAAGCTTTGACCTTACAGTTGGATTCGACTATCGATCATGATGTTCTATGGCAGTATCTGTCGTTGAAAGGAGTGAATACGAGTAGAAGAGTTCATAAATGTTCCTAGTCAAATACAATATTCAGATATTCTTATCAGATCTAGGAATCAACATATTGGAAATCGATTAAAATATCGATTAAAACGTGAAATTAGCATTGGATTTTCATCATATTAACCATTCAACTGATGAATAACTATCTACATTAATTCAATTCAAATACTAATTGACTTAAATATCTTCATCATCTATAATAAGTTAAATAATCAATTTGGATATACTCGGTGGTAAAGCATAAATTTGAAATTGTACTTTGGTGTTTAAAAAAGAACGCAAATCCTTTTCAAGTATATATATATATATATATATATATATATATATATATATATATATATATGTTTATGTATAGTTTGTATAATTAAAATTTACTGTATTAACAAAAATGTTTAAAAGGTTCTGTCTACCAAATCATATGATATGGTAAATTCATTGTTCAGCATGTAGTAACAGTAGCAGTAGTAGTCGTGTTACTAGTGATTGAATACCATAATAATTTTTTTCTCTTTAAATATTTCAAAATCATCTGATTCAAATCATATGTATATGTTTTGTGTTATTTTTTTTCCGTTAATTCACTATGGTAATCTTCATTTAATTTATTACTCATAAAAAATGTTTTTTATTCAAATTTCTTTTCTTATTTAATACAAAAAAAAGGAATCAACAAGTGAAGTGAATGTTCCGATTCTTCTAGTCGGTAATAAAATTGATTTACGCAATGCCAGCAGTAACACTGTTAAAGAAAGTAATAATAGCAATGTAAAACAAGTTGGATCGCTTAAGCATATCACCCATGAAATGGGTGCCAATGTAGCTAAAGTAAGTAAGCAATAGTTCAGTGTGTATAACGAATCAATTTGTAAAAAAAAAACATTGTTTCAAATTAATCGTGTGCCTCTTAGTACGCGATAATCGATAAACAATATCTGTACATTTCTTTATATATATATATATATATATATATATGAATATGACGTATATATTTGTAGCAGAAAACAGATTATGCTTTGACTTGAAGTGAATTATAAATATGGTTTCTAGTAGAAACAATATTCTCTCATCATCATCATCAATATTAATTTATCTGTCAGTGCCATTTGTTCCCATTCACTTTTTATTGTATTTTAAGTTTGCTCTAAGGTTCTTTGTCTGTTAAACCTTAGGCATAAATCTGTATTTTTCTCTACTTTCTTCTAAGAATATTCACTGAAATAATGTATTAAGTTATACAAAAGAAATTAGCGGAATACACTTTTGAATATTCAACAAACATAAATGTTACTTGTTTTAATCAATTGAATCTCAAAATTATTAAGATTGAACATGTTTGACCTCATGCTCATTTTATTTATTCATCTGGTTTTTGAAAAAAAATGTATATATATCAATATTACTCATAAAGTCGAGTTCAAAATAGAGATAATATTGTCCTTGTCTTACACTATCCACATTTCTTGAAAAAACTAATGTAAAGTTATTCTGAATCTACCAACAACAACTATGTACTGAAAGTGTTTTCTTTTTCAATGAGATTATGAAACTGCACAGTATTATGAGGTAATTTCGAATTTCTGATGTAGAATTAAAATGTGTATAAATTATTTATGTTTCTTGAGACTGAACTGTATTCAAAATGACATTGGTAGTGTTTCCTTGCTATTTATTTCTATTTAATGTTATCACATTATTTTCTTTCAGTTACACCATATTTCATTCATTGAAACAAGTGTATTAAGCAAACATAATATCACTGAAGCTATTGAACTACTCACACAGTAAGTTAACTTTATAAACCCTTATATATATATATATATATAATAGTGAAAACGAGCTTTTAATTAAGTGTACTGACTAAATAATGGCACTTGAGATGAAACACTCGATTTTCAAGTGATTCGAACCTTGTAAAAAGAATAACATATAACAACATTCTTTCAACGATATAAATCACATCAAAAGTTCTATGAATAATTCGATTGCTGTTTTTTTCTTCTTTTTTTGTATTTAAAAAGCTAGAAATTGAATAATTGTAGTTTATATTATTTAGTCGAAGCTGAAAATAATTATTTTCCCTGAGAATTCGATCATTAAATTTAATGATACTGTTAAAATGTTTAATTTATTAATCAACTGAGTATTTATCGATCTCTCAATATCGGTGTTCTATGAAAGACAAATATATATGTTTTTTATATCGTAACACAGCTAATTTTCAGGCAAAATTTATGTTCTGATCGATCCATGGTTATTTCATAGCATAAAATCCGACTGTTTGAAAGATGTATATTTGACAATGAGAATGATAAAAGTAGATGGAACCAAGTATTGAATGTCTACTATAGTTTTATTCGGTTGTAAACTCCTTGAGTTGTCAACCGTTCTTCTGTAGAATATAATTCATCAATATGTTTTGTTCAAATGACTTTAAAACTAAAAGAAGTTAAGGGATATCGTTTTGTTAGATATTTTTTAAGTCATTTGAAACTCCTTATAGTTCATCTGTTTTGAGCTTAATTTTATGAGATTTGCAAATATTTTCATCCTGTTAGGCAGGGAAAACATGATAAATTTGTAAAAAATCTTCATACTACTAAAATACTTTATATAGTACACGAACATATTTAGGTCAATGAACACACCATAGAATAGATACGTTGTAAAATGGTTGCATTAATCACTTATTTTTGTTAATGGGAGACTTTCACAAAAGCAATACTATTATCACATTAATTTAAGTATACGTTTGAATGGTGACATTTTATTTTGTCTTATTATTTTAACTTTTCTGAAATATTACCAATAAACACTCAATACAAGTTTTCGGATTACTAAACGAATAAAATTTCTTAACAGAAGCATTAGACAGTTTAATGATAATCATGTTAAGAGTTTGTAGTAACTTAAATGAAGTGTAAATGCAATTTTACACCTGTTCATTATATCAATTATTTTTTAAACAAATAAATGAACTAAATGAACATTGAACAAGTAATTCAAATTAACATTTATGAAACTAAGAAATACAACTTGAAATAAAATCATTTCTATTTAATATAAGCGTATATTATGGTGAAAATTCAAGAAATCATATGAATAAACTTCTCGATACTTATGTCTGTTGATTGATATCCACAGTGCGTGAATCTCATTCACTCTTTTACTCAATAATTCAATAGATCTACAATTTCACAAATGAATAAGTTTATCATAGAATGTTATCATTACACAAGAAATCTTAATGGTTAGTGTGTTACTGTATATCACACTAATTTGATTCAATGAAGGGAGACTTGAACGATTGTTCAAAAATTAATGTGGTCAAGTAAACTGAATAAATTTTTCTCACCTAGACATAGAGTTACGTTTTACTAACTTTTCCAGTCTATAGATATTGAATTAAATTATAACACTGGAACAATTAATAATTTGTGACTGGTCTTGACCAAAATTAAAATCGTTTAAACAGTTCAGTGAAATAATTCATTGTGAATATTCTTCCAACCATATAAAATCACATCATACTCCATAAGAAAATTATGTTCTTTTTAAAAACCAAACCAAATATGGTCAACAAATAGAAACGAATAAAACTTCTGAGTTATTTATAACTAAGTAAGGTCTACCTAAGCTCGGTAATAAGTAAGACAGTGAATAGAACTGTAAATCCAGGGCTTCTATTTGATAGCCTTCTTTTAGATAACTTTAAATCTATGATGTATTGTAATGTTTTGCATAATTTTTATCTTTTATCTACAAACTTAGACAAAGATTTCGAATACAAATTTACTAATTATTATCGTTGAAAACTCTGACCACTATTTGTCTCATATTTGAATCGAACAAACTATTGAAAATAAAATAAAAAAAATTCTCAGTCATTTTTTTACTAATTCACCCCATTAGTTATTTCGTCCTTTATTAATATACAGAAAACAAATTGGTTTATTTTCATAAAATTTAACCCCTGGATAATCTTTGCGAAATAAAAACGTATTTCTACATAAATCAAGTAAATAATGACCAGTTAAATATTCATTCTTTTACGACTTTCTTTTCGTTTCTTGTCAACTAAAATTATGCTAAATTATTATTTTTAAAAATTAATTCGTAACTCAATTTATTTGTCATTGTTCGAATCCACTTGTTGTTCATATTAAAAAAAGTGAATATATTTTTTAATTAGTCTCTTATTTTGACATTTTAACACATCTGAAAAAAAATTGTTTCCTTATGCTCTGTTAGCTTATAAGTGTGTTAGTAAGAAAAAAATGGATGGTTGGATATGCACTCCGGAATTGCGATCGACCCACAAGGACTCAAACCCAATAATTCGCGTCAAATGTTCAATATGTCATCCATTCACTCGGTCACTCAGTTCAAATAGCTACTTGTTTACAGAAATGAGGCTGAATTTTACTGTTTATTTATGATGATAATTATTGTGTTCAATTTGTTTTTTTTCTTGTTCCATGAAAAAAAATAACTTGATTGTTTAAGTACACAATCAATGTAAACAACAAAATTTACATATATATATATATATATATATATATATATATATATTATCAGTGATGTTTAATGCTTGATTGTTGTTATTATTTGTAGAGAGATGAAATTGAATGAAGATAAACAAGTTGCAGTTGTCACATTGACTAATTCCTCGTCAGCATCATTGAAAAGAAACACAATTGACAGAAGGCGTGATGCAAACAAATCAACGTGTTGTACATAAACTACATACACAATTATTTACATATTATCAATGAAGACTTTCATCATTTGTATGTTTCAATTAAAAGATACACATCAAACTTTATAGAATTCGTATGACATTGATGAGAAAAAAGAATATGATGGAATCGGTGTTAATAATTATGACAGTTAATAATAATAATAATGACAATGGTCGAATATTATTAGATACAAAGTTATTTGTCCAATGCTCATATCCATGACTCTAATAGATAATCAAATCAACAAATTTATCTGTCATTCTATGTATCTGTTGATTAGATTCCCATTTAATACAACAATAAATTAAAACAATAAGATCATTTATTTCTAGTGTATTTTTTTAAAAAATTTTTAGTCATTAATGACACAATATGAATGCACATTGATCACATACTTGAATTATTTGTCATTTCCCATTTAGAAATTGTATTTGCTCTTGACATGTGTACATGCACACATGAACATACATAAAAAGTTGTCATCATGGAGTGAACTTAGAACAATAATACTACATAAACAATAATCATACTCATAACTCATTTTTATTTGATTATTTTGGTGTTTTGTTGCAATTATAACAAACAATATTGATCTTTTCAATGTTCCTATAACCCGGCAACATTAAATTTTTAATTTATAACCATTTTTTTGTTTTTATCATTGTTATCATTGCTTTTGGAGGTGTATTATTATTTGTTTTTTCTAAATATAAATTTAATATAAATAAGATCTATCTGTGACAGTTGTTTACTTACTCTGATATATATATATATATATATATATATATATATATATATATATATATATATATATATATATATATGCATAGTTAATGTGTGCTCTTCATATTCCATACTAAACACATTTTCTGAGTAAGAATTGTAGTCAAACAAACTGATACTTATTTATGCGGTCAAAACTTCCAGTTGTTGAGGTTGATTATGATATCGTGTAAAAAGCAACAACAACACTGGATGTGTCAATATTTATAATTTTGTAATGTGTAACTAACTATACAATATCAGGATAATATTTGACTGATTCATTTATAGCATGAGTTTTGATAAATTGAAAGACATATGGTATCATGTCAATGACAAATTTTTTTCTGAGTCTACTTGATGCTAAAACGATCGTACAATATATGTATGTGTAGAAGGTTAGCATCATTCTGAAAGAAAACGTCATTTAGAATACAAGTATCACCAGTTCATTCCCTCTCCTGGTTAGAAAACAAATGCAGAACACAACTAGCATGTTTGTTAGAAATAAAAATTATCTGTCACATTTCCTATTTGAAATGATGTGATGAATTATGAGAAAAAAATACTAATCATATCATTCGATTAAATAGTTATCAAGTAGTTTAAGAATGATTTATTATTGTTTATTTAACTCCTCACTGTAATGACAGCTTCAACTTTGTGGTAGAATATGTATGTATGTACGAAAAGATAAGACAACATCGGTAAGATCCTGTTAGACGATGGTGGACAAAATTATTTCATCAAACCTGTTACGCTCGTCTCTAGGTATGCTTAAACTATTACGAGTTCACCTTAGTCGAATAACGAGAACGATACAATGAACCAGCGTCCAGGTAGGCTACTCTGATCACTTGACCCAAATGAATCAGTAATAAGTCTTGATATAGTGTAGAAATTGTATTCTACAAACACCCAGCAAACACGATGAATCCAAGCACTCAAATTGCGTTTATTTATACGCTATAGGGACGTCCTTGGGACAGTCACAAAAATGGCACACTAAAATAACACAGTAACCAATCACAGCCAAGGATTTTCCAGGTGGAAAATGTGATCTCAAGGTCAGCTGATCGGCCCATGAAACAAATCCAAAATAAAGATATTTATCAAGCGAGTTCTGGGGATCTAACAACCCCAACAAAACCCTTATGATTTCGACCCGAATAGAAATTTAGGCTATGGTTCGCTTATTTGAAGTTTGAGAAAGACTACGTGAACAAATTTAGTAACCAATATCTAATATAATAATGTAAATTAAAATATTGAGGTGAATGTATGTTCTATTGATTAAAAAAAGGTTCTAGTTATGGTGACAAAGTCAGTGAAAGATAATCAATGATTTGGGAATTGGAAAGATAGAAAGGCTAGCATTGCAACCAAAAGGATTTTCAACCCATATTGTTTATATGGTCAGTAGCAAAATGCAAACTGTCATACAATCTACGAGTGAGATGAACGAAACAGAGGATAAACTATAAAGAGCATTTAGCTCAATCCAACTTTTCACATCAAGATAATAATAGTTAGAAATTAATGCTGAAGTCATATAGAAATGTCAATTAGAGGAATAGTGAAATTATCCACTGAACAAGTGATAAATTCCGAATAACAATTAGTTTTCTATGCTTAATGTGAACATTTCATTTCGTTAAAGTTAGACTATATGTAATTAGAAATGATCTTGAGATATGCAAGGAAAAACTAAGAATAATGTGACAGATAATCCAACAGTAATCTTTTTTTTAAATCAAAAAAGATAAATACCACAGAAAATTTTTTTTTAATTTAACTGGTTAAGAGACTTCAGCGATTCCAATGATTCACTATGACTGAACAAAATATTTTGTAGGATAAAGCAATGATATTGATTGTTGATTGTATACTCTTTAATGTAGTTCAGTTGAATTACATTATCAGAATGGCATTAAAAACTAGTGAAATATACATAATTTTTTTCATCAATTCGTTGATATATATGCATAACCGCCCGGATAATAAAAATCTGTTGTATTATTTCATTTAATAATATCTGTTCATAAAAATATACTTCATCTGACGTCATGATATAACTTTAATTTTTATCGGTTATTGCAGAATTAATATGTCTATGCATTAAAAGCGAATGATATCCATAGAATAGTTAAAATATTAATTGTAGAATCAATAGGGTAGGAAAATAATATGCGGCAATGCTGTTGTCATGTGAAACATTATCTGAATTGAAATCATAAAATTGGTAAAGTCATTAGGGAAAAAATTCAGGAAATTTTTTTGATAGTTTGTATAAAAAATAAATTACTTTTCAGCAAAGAACACATGTTACCATAGAATCTGAAGATTAGGAAATGTTTCTGATTAAAGTTTTTTTTTTAGTGAAAATGATTTACTGAACTTTCTAATCTTATTGATGATTAATCCGAATGCACTTGATGCATAGATATAATGAATTATTATTTTAATTTTGAATTAAATTAAACGCTTAAAGATGATTATAAGTCAAAAAATATGTTTATTTATTAGTTAGAAATGACAGACAGACAGATACAACGCAGAACTTCGTACGTACGCACATTAGTTCAGGTTGCCATGCCCCATCAGCAGAGACGCAACTGTCAGTTCAAATCTAACAGTGATAGCAATAATAGAAGTATTAGCAGTAATGGAGAAGATTAGGGAGCGAAGATATGATTCGACTGGGTCGTAACGATAGTCAAGCCCGATCACCACGTCTAGGTAGCAGCTACGGTCGGGTATTAATTAGAAATATATACGTATATATATTTTTCCCAAACTAGCGAATACATTTTAAGTTTGCAAGTGTAATATGTCTTTCGTAACCATATATATATATATATATATATATATATATATATATATATATATATATATATATATATATATATATATATATATATAAGATTAACGTTTGAGTAATTTTTAAACACAACACACAGATAACGTTCTTTTAATTCTGTTTTGAAGTAACAATTTTTGGTTGGATATTTCTTTTTTAAAGTAGTTCTTTTTCAAAATTGTTTTCTTGAATATTCGAATTGAATTGTAATCTATTTTCAATGATACTTTTTTGATAATTATCACTGGTTCCTTTTAAATTCAATAGGTTTAATTGAATAATACATTCGATCTATTTTAACGTCATTTAATCTATAGTAGTTCTAAAGTAATATGTTGGTAAATTTTGTTTATTGTATAATATTTGAGTGCATTAAATTTCTTAATTAACATTACCTTAAGGATAAGGATAAGAAAATGAAATCGTGGAGAAAATTTTGTAGCTCATGTGGATGGCTGTGGTGGTGTTTTGTTCTCTGAGCTGGATGTTCAGAAAATGAAATCACTAGCTTTATTTTAAAAGCTACAAATTCTTATCACTAACACTTTTATGAAAAGATATGCGTACATCTCAGTAACTTTGTAAAGGATGGTAAGACTGTGTAATTATTTATAACTGTTATGATAATTCAAACAATTCCATGAATGGACTTCTGAGGAAAAAAATATAGATTGTTGTAATACAAATTAATGATCCAACAATTGAAAGCTGTTAACTTGAATATTTCACTAATGATATATTTAAACCTTACATACAACAGTTATAAAATAGGAGACTATTCATTTGGTTTCATTTAAACACTTGTGATATATGAATAATATTTTTCCCTTATATGTTTAACGTAATCCGTATATGAATGATTCAATTGGCAATTGATTAGTATTCGCATCATCAAGTTTGTGTTACATAGTTGAAGCTATTCCAACTTGACAGATATTGTTTTCATTAAAAATTTTAATTGTTTTTTATATTGTGATAGCCTATATTTAATAATTAGATCAGAAATAAACTTTAGTGAAGCAATTACATTCAAGCTGATTGACTATCCAACTTTCAGAAAAAATATCCATCCACGCTCAGTGAACAAAACTTGCACATATTCAAAGTGTAATACTCACTCGTTAGTCAACTGTATCATCGCTCCTGGATGAAAAGTCGGTTGATTTAAAATTAATGCCGTAAATTAGTAGAAATAGTTGTCGATGAAATCAATATTCATTCATAGATAAAATACATAGTCATACACTGATCAATGTAATATTCACAAAAATATAAATAATAATAATAATAATTATATACTGAGTATTAATATCATAATTATTGACTTAAAGATAAATGTACTTTTTCCTAAAAAATTTTTTTCAAAAAAATGTACTTAGTTCACTCCTAGTGTTTCAATGTAAAAGAAATGGTAAATTACATTTTTTTTCACCAAAAAAAAATCGCATAAATTTACATATCATTATTAATCAACCAATTATCGAAAATATATCGATGTTTGTAATAACAGCGATAATAGTAACAATAATAATAATAATAATGATAATTTTAATCCTATATCGAAAAACTTGATTATGTATGTACATTTTGTGAAAAGTTGATATTCCACCCTAAATTGTTTTGCCAAAGAGTTAAGTTTCGTTTAAACTCTTTGAATTTTTTAAGAGCACAACTTTATACAACCTGTTAAATTGATAAAGTCCAATGTCGAGTTCCTATTAAAGATCCTAAATTATAATTGTCGTACATTAATCCAATTAGATTTTCTCCTATTTATTTACTGTGTGATTCAATCTATCAAGTAAACAGGGTGATTTGTATATAGAAGTTAATCTTATGTTAATAAATAAAATATATGTAATCATAAAGACTCATGTCCGTTTTTCTTTTCATAGACGCTTATAACATCACTTTCTGATGAATTGTTATGCTGAATAGCTTATTTCATGATCTAAATCGATAAACCCCACTTTCTTGCTGCTTATCTGAGCTTTTTTGTTTGGTCTACTTGTGGATCTTTATAAGAAGTCCGAATAGATTTGTTGAAATTATTCATATTTTATTTCCATAAATCTGTTGGTGTTTGGTGTTTCTTGGTTTCCTATTCTTAAAACTCTAT